ATCTTTTTAAGTGGGAGAACTTGCACAATTGGTGGCTGACTAAATACTTTTTTGCCCCACTGTATCTGAATAAATGTTGTAACATAGAAATTGCTTGCTTATGGAGTGGCTGTGAGATTATTTAAAAGATCTGCAAAGATAGGAATAATGCCGCTATTAAACCTCAAAACAAAGGGAAAGACAACAAGAGTGAATGCAAAAACCACTGGGGGATGAGTTTGTTAAGTGTGCCTGGGAGATGTTTAGCATGATTCTGATTGAAAGGATATGAGAGATGACAATGAACAAGATTTGGGAAGTGCAGTGTGGTCTTAGGTGGGCAGAGGATCAGATTTTTGCTCTTCAGCAGGACGCTGGAAAAATATAAATGTGAAAAAGTTTATTGCATGTTTGTTGATTCTGAGAAAGGGTATAATAGAATGAATAGGCTTGACCTATGGAATGCTTTGCATGTGTATGTAACTGAAGATTGGTTGCTGAACCCTGTAAGAGCAGTATATGATGCCAGTAAAGAATTTGTGGGAATAGAATGCTTAGTAATGAATGGTTCAATGCTGAGCAGGGAATAAGACAATAATATGTAATATCCTCTTGGTTGTTTAATGTATTTATGGATGAATGTATAAGAAATGCTCGTGATGGTTAGGGCCATGAATATTTGTATATACTTTATATACATTTGTGTATATATCTGTATATTTTTATATACAGATAATGCAACATATTGGCTGAGAATTGAAATGATTTGCAGAGAATATTGGGTACATTGTATGATGCAACAAAGACTATGAATCTGAAAATTAAAGTATTGAATCTGTGTTACACAGGGAGAATGAAGAATTGCATTTTATGTAAAGTCATACAGCAAGTAGATGAATTTATGTAAAATGTTTGTTAAAAGTACGAAAATGGCTATATAAAAGACAATAAAAGTGCTTCTGCCCACTTTGTTATTTGGAAGTAAATGACAGGAGAAACATAAAGGCAAGCTGAATGAAGTTGGAGTGAAGTACTTAAATATGGTAAAATAAGAAGAGATAGGATGAAGAATGAATGGCTGATGAGAAAATACTGATTGAATACAAAACCAAGTGAACAGTATGAAAGAAGTATGTTGAAGTGGTTTGTTTATATAGACATACAGACATAAAAATCACAAAAAATATATGAAGGAGAAATGAATTGGCCAAGAGAAAAGGAGAAGACTGAGAAAGTCATGGTTAGATGGAGCTGATAAGAATCTTAAAAAGGAAGAAGTGAAACGTTCAAAAAACAAAAGACATGATGTGATGTGTGGATGTGGTGGCAGTAAGGATGGTTTGCCAGGATAGAAAGTTATGGAGATATATATAGTGAATAGGGTTGCTGTGATCTAGATTTAGCTATGTTTTCTTCTGTTTTCTTGTCTATTCAGCAAGATACTTATTTCTTCAGATGGCTTGCACAGAATCTGACACTGTTTTTGAGCTGAGAGAGAGTGACTAGCTCAAGGTCATGCAGCTGGCTTTTTTGCCCAAGGGAGGACTAGAACCTGGATTTTCCCACTCCTAGTCCAGCTCTTTTACCACTGCTGGACCTCTAATGATTTATGATGACAGAAGGCCATGTTCCAGAAATAATAATAATAATAATAATCATCATCATCATCATCATCATCATCATCATCATCATCTCATAATATATATCAAGAGAAAAAGGCTAAAGATAATTTCACTTGTGATAATTGTAGAAAATCTACAGATGTCTAAGAATTATTACATATGATTGAATGAACTCTTACACATGAATATTAGAACCACAAATACATTTATTTCAATTTACCTTTCAGCTAATCCACCTTTAGTAAGACTCGAAATGATAATGGGATCAAAAGGCTCTTCAGTACCAGAAATAGTGATCCCAAGAGGTCCTCCATATCTCTTGAGCTCAACAGTATAAATAATTGCTCCTGAGCTCTCTTGTTCATCTGCAATACATGCCAAGAGGATGCAATTGGTCTCTTATAAAAGAAGGAATGAAAAGAATAATACATTCAGAAAAATGATCAGCATACATATCCTCAAATTGTTATGCTTCAGATGCATCTCTTAGCTACTACTGCCTTTTATATTGATGACTACAGGTGATGTCACAGGCAACAACAGCAAACCTCCTTCTATTTCATGGAAGCAAAACCAGGATTTTAAACCTGACATGCCTGTAAACTTATTTACTTATATTTTTATGGAAAAATGCAAATTCAAAGCAAGATTGTGGTACTATTTATCTTCTACTTCTTTAGATTGAAGGTTGCATGCAGAATATATTTTATGGTAGGATTCATCTGGGGATAAGCAAAGAGGGCTGGGATACAGATCATATTTCTTTAAAACCATTTATTTTTTAAAAGTCAGTTCATCCTAGTCTCTCTCTCTCACCTTATCCAGTTTTAAATTTATTATATGGAATTTTTATTTACTTTGAAGGGAAGTAGATCACACAAGAAAGCCTAGGGGGCAACATGCAGCACCAAGCCATAGGTTCTGCACTTATATTTTAGGTTATTTTCTGGTTCCTTTATAATAGATTTCAGCTATCATGTAAAAAAAAAAATGTAGATTTTGGCAAATACTACTCCAAGTGCAAATTATAGCAGAGTCTTGAACATTTGCAACTGGGCAGCTATAGGGATATCATCTACATTATCAACTACATGGATCACCATGCAGTATAAGGAATGAATTATTAAGAGTTTTTTGCTCTAGAGCAGGAAGACAGAGAGATACAGGAGAAAATGCATAATGTACTTCTTTAGCAAAAAATAAAAATAAAACCTGACTCAATTAATTTCCCTGTCTTAAAATAAATCTAGTCCTTGCAGGGGACTGGGGGTGAAAATAAATTTCCTATTTAAGTTCTGCTTTAAGACCATTTGAGACCTGGCTTTGTCAACTAGTACGGGGACCCAATGGGGGTTTGCAGTATTGGGGATAGCTGGTGGTTTGAGGATGCTCTCTCTGTCTTTTAGCTTTTGTATATTTTTGTAAAGATTTTTATCATTTTTTATCACTTTTTTACTTATAAACCACCTAGAGTCATTTATACAGTGAGATGGTTGTTGAATAAATTTGATTCATAAAATAAAATATTCGACTTGAACACTGGAAGTTAAAAATAATGTGTTTATATATGAATGTTTTCCAGCAAGCTCTGTCCTTGTGTTATTTGATATTTGGGTCTTTGAATGCTTTTTTTATGCTGTCTTTAGCTTCCTATTGCATTGCTACTGAACTTATGGGTCAGAGGTTTTATTTTTTAATTTTTTAATTTTTTTTAATTTTAATTTTTTTAAATTGTTGATTGGATTTTGTTAGCTGAGTCTGAGTGCCTCTGCTGGAGATGAGAGTGGAGTAAAAATACTAGTATAAAATAAAATAAATAATATTCATTGTTATAAAAAATAATTTAAAAAACTGGGGAAATGCCTCTCTCAGTTTGGTCAGAAACAATGGACAATTCATGTTTATTGAGTCCCAAAAGTATTCTGTACTGGAACAAGTCAGGTAGACAAATATCTCCATGTGAACTAGTGGTTCTGCATGCAAAAATGGACATGTAAAATTTAATTTTCATGTTCTACACTTTAGAATAGTAAATATCAGATACTAATACATAATGCTTTATGTAGGAATGTACAGCTCAAATGTTGTCTTCTCTATATCTTACCCATCCACGTGGTATGGAGAAACCCATGAACCAATTTCTTCCTAGAAGTGATGATTCTCAATCAGGTGAGTGGGTGAACAGACCAGTGCAGTATCTTGAAATAACTTAGCTGCCCTTTAGAAGTTATAACAAATATCTGGGCAACATTTCCATGGGCACATCCAGTATTACTTTAGTTTAGTTCAATATAAAACTGAGCCAAACATGTCAGCCATTGCTACATGTTTTGATTTGAACATCAGTTTTGATTTCAGCTATATAACTACTGTGTGGAGTTACAACTATGCAAGTCAAAGTAGTGAGTGTTTTAACCTTACAGCAGAGCCATGGTATGAACTTATGGAAAAACAATTTTGATGTTAACTGCTACAAATTCAAAGGGTACTTAGTTTTACCAGTGTGGATGCACCCAAATGAACTTCATGGGAAATAACCGGCTTTTGTTGATTTCAGGCAATTTCATAGTCAAAGATCATTAAACAGGAAACCCTGGAGTTTTTGTATGTGTGTAAGCGAGAATGATATTAAATCTAAAAAGGTGTACATATATCATTAGTACAGCCCCATGCTAAACTGTAGTTCGTATGCAGGAAAAATTAAAGCAGGGAAAGTTAAAAATAATTGATATTATAACTACTCAGTCCATGGCTGACTGAATTAAATAGAAATACAATGGGATAAATAGAGTTACAATGGGTTAACTCCTGTTCATTCATAGCAGTGAAATATTCTCTGAATATCATGAGCTGGATCTTCAAACTCTAGTTAGATTGTTCTTAGTAAGCACCTGGGACTTTCCAGGGTGCCAAGAATTTCTAGACATATGGTGAAGAGCAGTTTAGAAGTGTCAAGCATTCCATGTCACAACATACAGCTTTTGCTTGGTTGTTTTTTACAGAAACGTAGTAAGATACCATACATAAAATTAATGTGTTTATTTTGCACTCACTCTTCCTTTTATTCAAGTAAATGATTTCTGGCTCCAAATCTGCCTCCAACGTAACTAGATTCAGTTTGGTATCTTGTCTGGTCATTTTATAAATTGGGATAAAAGCAGATTTGAGGCCAATGGCTTCCAAAAGTTATCCTGATATATTTAGGGTAAGAATCTTTATTAGAGTCTTTCTTTCTCTTCCTTAACTATCTCTATGAAGCTTTATCAGTGCTTCTGGCACTTAAGAAAGATGATTTGGAAGTGGTTTAGAATTCTTTTTATCTAGGGTAGGAAGAATACAATTAAAATGAATTTAACTCAGATGCTGATTTATATTTTATTAAGTTTCCATTACACCTTGTTACTTCTTTCAAAATTGTGTTTGCTGTGTTTAGTGCCCTCATGTATGCATCTGTGTGTGTGGGTGTATATATACATACACACACACACATGATTTGATTGTTTTAGTCCTAAAAGCTTACATTATGAACAAAATTCTTGTACAAAAAAGCCCTCATAAATCTTTTTTCTCACAGCAGTGAAAGGTAAATATGGCCTTGTATAATCTTACTACTCTGATTAATTTATTTCTGCAAAAGTCTTAATTTTGTAAAAAAAATACTTAAAACTGTGCTTCTTAGTATACAACATAAATATTAGGCTATTGTGGCTTCTGTTATTCCAGGTTTCACAATCTTCTGTCCACCCACTGACTGGAACATATTCAAATGTCAAAGTCAGTAGGATTCTTAATACTTTGATAAGGGTGTTAAAGAGTGATGTGTGTTTGTATGTGTTTGTATGTGTTTGTGTGTGAGGGGAAGGATTTGAATAAATGTGGCTCCTAAAAGAGCTGGCCCTTCTATAATTCTGGGGATAACATTCCTGGGCATAACATTTCTCTAGGGGTATTGAACTGGCATTGCAATAAATATACACGATCCAAGCAATGAAGACTTTCCTCATTCCTCAGAAATTAATGAGAAGGTTTCAGTCATCCAACTCGGACAAAGACAGGAACACTAAAACCATTGGCCTATACTGAAAAATGATTGAATGCTTATCCAATGGATACTTTACACATATTGCATCCCAAAGACATTTCAAATATACATAAAATGATTCATAGCTCACTGTGAATACCAGAGTTATCTTCATCCTTGCGAATTTTTAGTTTTACAAGTTCCTCACAATGCTGCAGGATTTGAACTGCATCTTCCATAGAACAGTTGTCCAGTCGAATATTGTCTATGGCAAGCAATTTATCACCTAGTTCCAGCGTCCCAGTTCTATTAATAAGTGGAATACATTATGTGATTAATGCCTTGAACATGCTGATTTGGTTATTCATGCAAATAATGATAATGATTTTTTAATTTAAGAATGAAAGTGATTTTTGTTTTACATATCTGAGGTAGCACATTAAAAGCATGCTATCTCAAGGGAAACACTTAGTTTTACAATGCAGAACATTAAAAATCCAGGGAGACTGAGAATTGTGAACTGGCAACATCATCTTTGTCACCTTGCAAGCACTCACCTGTGGGCAACACTTCCCTTCTTAATATCTGAAATAACAAGAGGATCTCCTGGTTTTCGACTAGATGGAGCTGAAATACAGAATACATAAATATTTGCAGTTTAAATAATCTATACATACATGCATATCCACATATTCTTTCCCTTTGGGGTAAGCTATATTATAGTGTAGAAAAGAAATTAGAAATAATAAGCCAAAGAAATTAAAGCCATGAAATAAGAAAAAGGAAAGGAAACATGGCTAAAAATATTTTCCATCAACATCAATCACTGTACCTTTGCATATCTTTCTATTCTTATGAACAACTGTCGTCTTCACCATGTCTATACATCACTTCACATGTTACCATTTGTTCTTTACACTTCTCACTTGTCTTTTTTTTGAAGATGTTATCAACTTCATTCAATTAAGAAGAATTTTTTGATCTTCCCCTTCCCCTCAACCCATTCACTCTTCCTTCATATATTTGTTTTGTGATTCAGTCTTCATTCATTCTCTCTATAGGATTAAAGCACCTCAGTGTACTTCTTTTGTACTAGTCACTCTCCTTTGTACTCAGTCCACATTAATTTAGCACTCATTCACATTTATCCCTTTCTTTTTTTAACCACACATGGTTCTTAATTATTCAGTTCAACTCAGTTTTATGTTTCTCTTGACATACCTAACTCTCATTTCCATATAATAATGTGGGCAAAAGTGCACTGTTATTCATAGCCATTTTCACTTCTTTCAACAACATTCATTTCTCCCAACAGATAAGTTACCATCCATTACTTTTATATCAGCATTTGCATGTCTTAAAATTATTGAATCCATTTTTCCATCTTTAGTGAACATTCTACCAAAGTGTACAAGTTCATCTATTTACTTAAGTTTTTTACCCTATTGTTAAATATTTAGACATATTTTATATGCTAGCGGGCCTGTCTAATAATGAAATGGAAGGGGAATATGTGCATTTCATGTGCTATAATGGGGTAATTTTCTTTTTATATATTATGCATGTTGTCTTGGCAAGTATATGCTCTGTATTATGGATATATATCTAGCAAGGTTTCTTTTAATTTATTTCTTGAATTTCTACTGCTTTTCTACTACCCCCTCCCCAGCACTCATGAAAATATCATTTTATTCAAAACAGACATACACAGCAATATGTATGACTCAGACCCTTCACATTCTTAAACAAAGCTTAGCCTGGCCTAGTGTTCTCCATAAAGTTGAGTCACACTGGTTGGGACGATCAAGTTTGTAGAATTTAGAAGATAAAAGGCACTAGGTTGGTAAGCATGATCTAATGGCTCTATAGTTGAGAAATTATCTATGAATGTATAGAATTCAGACTGAAAATATTAATATTGGACATTTCATCTGTATGTTGGATGAAATAATGAAATGGTTATATGTTCTCCATTAAAATTTCTTAAACTAAAGATATACCATTATTTGTACTGCAAATGGTACCCCACACAGGTTCCTGTTTCCTTCTAGTAATAAAATTTATAATGGTTCCCATTCGAAAATAGCTACTAAAAACATTCCAATCTTACGTTCAGGGTAGATCAGTAATCTAATTCAATACAGGTTGAATCTTATTATGTTACTTCTTGCTAAGAGTGTGAAAAAATTAGATATTTGATTTATGAAGATGTTTCATTGTATAAAAATTGCAATATTTTGCAAAAGTCTGTTAAGCATAGTAAAAGTGACTATGGTTCCTATGTGGTCTCCAGGCTATGGAATATACTTCTTAAGAAGTTCCCAGTATTTAAGGACATGGTAAGAACACATGTCTTTTGCCAAACTATTACTTGCTACTTATTTTAATTACTTGTTTTAATCTTGGTTTTACTTTTGACTCATTAATTTTGTTCTCTTTCATTCCTGGCATTTTTAAACAAGGTTGTATACCACCTTGATGTTGCAATAAACAGAGAGGCAAGATATAAATTGAATAATAAATAAAAAATTATAAGGGAATCCTATTTCTCTTTACTATTATTTTTAGAAATACAGTTTTTCAAGTTTACATGCCAGAAGTATTACATATTTCTAAAGATAAAAAGCAAAGTTGTATAAACTTTTCAAATGTGCAATGAATAAGGATCAAACCTTGCACACCTAGAAAGGTTTCATCCCTGTGAAGAACCAATATTAGCTATTGGTTAGATATTAATCTATTTTTATGACTTCAATAAAGACCAAAGAATTTGAGCTGCTTTCTTTTTATGAATGTAGTACAAAGTTCTTTGCAGTAAATTATTATTTTATCATTCCATTAACACATATATTTCAATAGGTTTTTCAAAATAGTTGGCTCATGTTACAGAATTTGATTTGTTAAAAATCCATATATCTATATCAAATTTCTCTGTTTAAAGCAAACCAATTATATTAAACTGGAAATCCTTACATCTCTTAAATGAAGCTTTCAAACGTAATACCTTATTAAAACTAATTTAAAAATTAATTATACTATATATGTGACATAATACAAATATTATGTTATCAATTATCTAGTTCAGTATATGCAAAATGAGAACTGTGTCAAATACCAGATTACAATGCTCAGTAGGTGTCTTCTGAAATCAAACGGTAACATTGCTTTTAATATCAGTGTCCACTTGATAAAAGATTAATGTCTCAGTTCTAATGGTAGGCTAAAAAATAAATCAATGAACCCACATGTTGCACCAAAACTATTGTGTAGCATCCAGAATATGTTGGGAATTCATTTATATAACATATATCATCTTAAGCATTTTTAGCACTGCATACAAAATAATGTGCCATTCAGTTACTTATTCACCTAGTCTGCAATATACTTCAGGGCTTATTCTTGCCTAATTACATTGTGAATAATTTTGGTGTCATCTGTTCTTGATTCCCTTGATTCTAGACTATTTATGAATAAATAGGCTGGTTACAATATGTGTATAAACACACACACACACACACAAACTATTTCGGCCTCTTGCTTCCTGTTCTTAAAACTGTAACCAAATTGTAAGAGGATATAGCATTGTAAGGGGTGATATTAAAATATTATAACTACTTTTCTGCCAAGGCATGCATGGTTTGTATATAACAAAACAGTTAAGGCCATTTTATAGTAACATATTAAAAGCAGAGTTTTCTATGAAACATCATGAATCTGCAGAAAGCTTATTTTATCTCAACAGGACAAAATGAATAAAAAAAATAGATATAGAATATTTACAAGAATCATAATATAAATGAATAACTTTTAAAAATTGAAAAGCAGTCAAGTAGAAGAAACTTCTGTTTCTCTGTTCTGAATTTTTATTTGTATTACTATTTTGTGCCTAAACTTTTTTCTGACAGGTCTCAGCTTGTAATTTCCTTCAAATTTTATTTAAAATTTGCTATAAATTAAAATGCCATAAATATCATTGACTCTATTTACAAAAAGAAAGATGTAATTATTGCTGAGGCTTGAAAAAATTTCATTTAGCTTACCCAAGTGATTTAGTAGATTCCAGCTTGAATAACAATAACAATTCTAGTTTGAGAAAGCAAAATAAATTGTACAACACTCTATTATAAATCTCTACTGAAAACCGATATTATAAAGAAAAGATGATGAAAAAAATCTACTTCACTTACAGCTTATGGTGATGCCAAGTTCTACATTATGCTTCTTTGGCAGTTTTACATGAAAAGTGCCACTACTTGGTATGACAGATTCTGTAATGAAAAGTTGCGGCATTTATTCATTCATGCCAAGTAGAACCCCACTCATTGCATCTTCATCATTAACATATAACGTATTTATTAAAGCAGTTCACAAGTTTGAGTCAAAACGTAAGTAAAGCAAATCCTGCAGTATATTCTATGTTCGTGATTTAAAATGTCACTTTTTAAGTCACATTGCACTGCTTCTTAAGGTAAAGGACTGAAAAACAGAAGTGGAAACTTTAACATATAATAATATTAATATCACAGAAAAAAACAAAAAGTTGTAAAGATCAACATTGATTTAATTAATTGTAATATCTGACACATAATTATTAAAAAAACCCTCAGTATACTGAAATACTAATCTAAAAATAAACGATTACTACATATTACATAAAGAACTACTAAGGTGACCAGTATGTTTAAAATATTTAACATTATACTGCTATAAATTCTATAAATGCTTATTAGCAGTGTGAATTTATAATATGAAAATTCAGTCAATCATATCAGTATTGGTATAATATTGGTATATCTTTTCATATACTGTATCATTATAAGTATAAATGCTATTAAAAAGTAATCTTAATCCTATTTTTCTATACATATTTTAAATCTTACCCATTCCTAGTTCAATTCCTATTTAGCAATACCAAAACATTATTAATAATATCTAGGAAACTCCAGGCAATTTATTTTCTTAACTCTTATTTATACATGCATTGTTAATATTATCATTTCAGCTCTTTTTAATATAGCATTTCTAATTCTTTTGCCTTTCTATTTTGGACCACTATTTCCCTGACTATGGTGTATGTTGTATTTTGAATAAGCAGTAAATAATTTCTGGCTGTACTTTGAAAGATTCAGGATGAATATTAAGAAAATATTGGCATATAATAGAGTTATGTATGCATAGTGTTAACACATTCAAATGGATTTCATTCTCACTATTTTAGTATACAGAACATTTGACTACTCATACCTGCAACATCAAATTCAATTTCCAAAGTGACTTTGCTAGTTATAGAAGAATCTCTGAGGAGCTGATTAGCCTCATCGAATGTGCTATCTTCAGTCAGGATTCCATTTATAGCCAGTATTCTGTCTCCTATTTGTAGAATGCCACACCTTCATACAAAATGGAGCAAATAACCATTCCAATATATGAAAAAGGAATAAACTCAACTTTTCAACTTTTCAACTTTTATGAAAGATAATAACAAAATTAGATGTTCTTCATTAGAAGTTTGCTCATATCTAAAATTTTGCCATTTTATCTAATTTTATTCCAAGGGAACTATATTATTCTGTGTTTGAGATCAGCATGGTTTCCTGTAGCATAAAATGTTAACATAAAGTAGTTTAAAAATCATTGATGATAATGAGTTTTTTTTGGGGGGGGGGCAATTTAAGAGTTAAAAAAAAAGCTGCGGTTGCAATGTTCAGGAGTGTGAAAAATGTTCTTCACTTTGGTTTGTTAAAGCAGAGGCATGTTTGCAAGGCTTCTGTAGCTACTTTAAAAACTGTCCCTGACTGACTTTGCATGAATGTGTGTGCACAGCCATTTTCTTGGAGAAAAACAGCATTACTGCTTTAATGATTCAAAACATCCCTAAAAAGTAATAATTCCAAACTCTGGTATTTAAAGATATTACTTGATATCAGTTATAACCAAGCAGAAAAACTGAAATACTTTCCTGCTAATCTAAAATAGCAAATCTTTAAATTAAGCTTCAGAAATTCCATTAGGAAAAACACTATCTAATTATCCTAAATACAATTGTCTGTCAAAGGCAGTCATCTAGATAAAGAAAAGAGTAACTATGATTTTTCTCATGCCTGATCATTTATTTTAAATCTTTTGAAATCAAAACAGGAAAGACAGTATATCTCACATTTTTCATTGAACAATCCTGGGAAATTATCTGAATTCTGAAAATAGCTACTCCAAAGCTTCCAGAGATGTTCTAAGCAATAAAGAGGGCTAATAACCTTATCAATCATTTCAAAGAAACTCACTTTTCTGCTGGACTGTCAGCTTCTATATAGGAAATCAGAGGTGGAGATGATAATGTCTCTGTAGCAAACACACTACCCTGGAGCTGTATCCCAAATCCTACAATGGGATCAGCTGTCAACACTACTTCTGTGGTTTCTGTGTGGACAACTTGTCCAGCCAAGCCAACAGTGCTAGAGGCTAGTGACACTGTAAAATATATCAAGGCAGAAATAATGTCATTCAGAATGACAGCAAATATACTCATTTTCTGACCCAAATACTGTCTATGTAAAAACTGTAATAAAATGTCAGTACTACCATTTTCAATTAGAATACTTAAAATTCAGAATGAACATACAGTACTATTTATTTAAAACAAGGCAGAACAAGGAATATTGGAATTACTGTACTGCTTGACTGTATAGGTGATAAGAGGTATCTAAAAGCCAGTAGGTCAGCGATTCCAAAGGATCAGAGGATAGCTGTCTTCATTCCAACCAAGTCTCTGGTCCTTAAATACTGGGCCTCTAGAAGTTCCCGGCCAGATGATTGCCATGTTTTATTATCAGGCTTTTGATAAAGTTTTTTTTTTAATACAAAGAGCAATGAAAACTTTATACATCTTCAGTCGTATATATTCTAGACTCTCAAAAAAGCTTGACTTATTAAAACTTGCATTTTAAGTGTCCTATTAGTAAATACTTATTACAGAAAAGCCTGACTATAATATAGAAGGAAAGCTGTGTAGAGTAGATATCTGTGAAAATAATAACACTGGGTTACGTGCAATGACACAAAAGTAGATTTTTGTCTCATGCAATGAGGCTTTCCTGTGCCTTTCTACCACAACCATTCTGCATAATCTTAAAATTCATTCTGGAAGCACTTCAATCTTCTAAAAGATTTAGCAAGGGCATTAGAGGTCTAAGCTGGATGGAAAATCTTGTCCATTTTGGATACAGTTGGATGGATGAATAGAACCCACCAACTGCAATCACAGTAATAGATTTGCAAATAATTATACAAGGCTACAAGATTCTATGAGAGAAACTGTCAAGCTTCTACTTAGCAGATGAAAATGACTACCATTTTGATATGTTCAGTTAAAGAGAGAAGTTCATAGTTCAAAAAAAGAGGTGATGAAAAAGTAGCACCAGATATTGTTTCATGAAAAGATTGATTGCTCCGAGATTGCTTCTCTAATTGATTGATTGGTACAAGAGTGCTTCCTGAGGCTGCATGCAGATTTCCAAACCCATAAGAATGAGTTTATAAGAACTCAAAGAAGCAGTTACTGACATGGAATTCTGGATAACTGCTGTCCACTTGTACACAAAGAATTGGAAGCAACTGAACAACAATGTGCACATAAAGGAATTCCTTTCCTTACAACTCCAACAAATCTTATTTACAGTGTATTATAGTGTTATTACTAGATGTGATTCATAACCATGTTTTAAAACAAATAACCTTTGTGGTCACCTACATGAGCTTTTGAAGTCCTTCTTTTTCATTCTTCTTCTCATCATTGTTCCTCTAGGACTAGTAGAGTAGAGGCTGCGAGGTAAAGTTCCCATATTTAGTGAACTCAAGCTGTATGCACTCATGGAGGCAGGAGAGAATGATGAAGATACCAAGGCTGTTGAAAGAGAAGGAGACATTTGGTACAAAGCATTCTAGATTAGGGAGCTCTGCAACAGTGCTCGTAAATGGCTATTATAATCTGGACACTGACTAAAGTTGATAAGTATCCAGTAACCAAATCAGAAACTTAATGAAATCTAGGCATCAAATCACAATTTTAGGTTGAATTATTAAAAAATCTCTTTGCTAGAACAAAAACATCACTTTATTTACTTAAATATTTAAGCAACTGTCATTTACTTCAACCATTTCTAAACACGCAGCTATGTGAAATAATACATACCAATATGGTTAGATATACCAAATCTAGCATTTGAAAAAGGTAATTTCTGACATAGATTTTTCATTGAAAAAGTATTTTCTTGATAAAATACTAAACTGTGCAACACTATGAAATGCATTTAGGAACACTGGAACCTCAGTAGTTTTCAAAAACTTTCCTTCTTTATGAAAAAGTAGAATTAAAGCAGGAAAAGACACTATGTCAGAAATAACCTGAATGTGCTTGTGACAAACACTGAGACCCTATAAAGCCAAAAGATTTTAAAGGCAGAAACAGGAGAAGAATATGAGAAAAAGGATGTCATTAGGAAAACAACAACAGCAACAGCAACAACAGAAGTCTGAAGGAAAAAGTATGGAACATTACAAAGACTTTTTTGAGGAGGTGTTTTCTGGCATTTCAAAGCTGGCATCCTGAAATGATCAGGGTGTTTGGTGTTATAATGATGGCAACTGAGGGCACTGCTGTGGCTCTTGGCATAAGGATCCCATAGAATCTGCTTGATGCTCCTTTGAACCTTCACTGCCCACATGAAGGGATGAGAGAAAATACATATTAAAAAAAATGAAAAGAAAAAAAATCAGAAAATGACCAGTACAGGGGAAAAAGTAATTGGGTAACATAAATAAATTAAAAAGTAAGGAAAATGAAAATAGTTTGAAAAGTATCCTGTCCTTTCCACCTTCCTTTTTCTAGTGGTAAGCAAATCCTAGAATGTATTCCACAACCTTTCATAATGCCAGCACTAGTGGGTTTGATACTTAAAAATAACCTGATCAGTCTTCAATCAATTTTTAATCTGCCTCTGTCTTTAGCTACTGTTATTAAATCCTTTAAAGAAGTCATTTAATCCAACATTATCAGCATAAATAAGGTACAATTAGTAATTAAATTTAGAAAATATCCACCTACCTAAAAGAATGTGTATATATTAAAAAAGCAAAAACCAAACAAGAGGCCATATATCACATTTTCCATAGCAATTCAGAGTAGTTTACATGTCAGTCTTTTCAATTTATTGCTTTGACATTTTAATTTTATCAGCATCTATCAGTGGTACTTTATTATTTGGGGCAATGAACTTCCATCTCTTAAACATCAGCACAAAAATTCAATGTAGGAGAATTATTAATAAACACAAAACAGAAATTCAAAGTCATAATTTATTGTTCTGAATTTTTTTCAGACTTCTTTTCATCACAAATGCAGGAAAGGAAACAAATCCTATTCCTTGCAATGGTCAGTTCTGAATCAGATCTACCTTAAGCGTTCCCCACCCCCAACCCTCCATCAAAAGGTAAAAGGGGAGGGGGAGTATTTATTAAATATACATTCTTTAAAAAATACGAGAATTTCTAACTGATCTTATACTGTATCAAATTAATATGCTAAATTACTATATATGTTGACACAAAAGCATGAAAAAAAATATATAACAGGCTTCACATTTCTCCTCTTTCATTCGTATAGGAATGAAAGGATGTTTCCTCTTAGACTCTTTTATCAATCATATTTGTATATTTTTCCCCTGGGTTATATAGGTATAATATTGCTGCAACTACCAAACCTAAGAAGCATTTTTAACACTGAACAGAACCTGTTCTCACTAGTCAGTAATTTAGAAAGAATTACAAACCTAAATATTATTTATATTCTGCCTTTCTTTTGCATAAACACTTAAAACATATTAGAATAAAATAAAAGATACATAATTAAAATCAAAATGAAAATCAGTATGATTGATATCTATTAACAATTATAAGCTTGGCAATATATATGCCATGTTCCTAACTACTGGGAGTGGGAGTCAAATGTGCCTTCCTGGGGAGTACATTCCACAGGCTGGGAGCTACACAGGAGAAGGTCCACTCCCATATATCAGATAGGTGAGCTTCTGACAATGGGGGCATCTTCAAAAGGGCTTCTCCTGCTGATCATGACCAGGTATGTTAATGCTGCGAGAGGTTGTTCTCAGACAGTTGGGCTCTAAATTGTTAGGGCTTTAAACATGAACCCCAGCACCTTAACTTGTTCTTAGTAGGCAACTGACAGTCAGTCATATCGTTCAGTACAGGACTCATGAATTCTGTACCTTGTAGCCTTTGGCCATCACATTCTGCACCAATTGCATTTTCTGGGATACCCCAAGTAATGCATGTTTCAGTATCAAGAGAGATTGCAATAAAAGTGTGGATAGTGTGTCAGTAAATCTGGCTGGCTCAGGTTGATGCACTACCCATACATGTGCAACTGTGCTCTTGCCATAGCTTCCTCCTGTAATCCAGTGACAGCTAGGGGTCAAGATGTGCACTTGCTCTTTTTGGGGAGTATACCCCAACCAAAGCAAGTTTTATCTCAGTTTCTGAGTTCATCTTTCTTTTGATCAACAGTGCCTTCTCCTTATCTGAAATTAATTTCAGCTTATTGTCCTTCATCTAGTCCATTATCAAAATCAGGACATGTTCAAGGTTGTTGATTTAGCCCTTGGAAGTGGATGATAGGAAGCAGCAGTGCAAGTGTCATCAGCATTTTGTTGACATTACATTCCAAAGCTCTGAATCCTCCCACTTCCTCCAGCAGTTTTACATAGATATTTAACAGTACAGGCAACAAGATAGAACCTATCATTGTGGAATACCTGAGGTTAACAACCTATGTGTCAAACAGAAGTTCCATAATGTTGTCACTAGAATAGTGTCCTCAGTGCCATGGACAATAGCATCAAAAGCCCTGAGGGATATGGGAGATCTAGCAGAGTCGCACTCCCTCTTTCTAGTTTCTGAAACAACATCCACCAGCACAACTAAAGCACTCTCAGTACCATGTCAGATGAAATGGTGACTGAAATGGGTTCAGATAATCAGTTTTATCTAAACTGTATGGAGCTGTAAGATTACCACTTTCTCAATCATTGTACCATGGAGTAGAATGCTTGAGCCTGACTTATAATTACAGAGATCTTCCAAATCAATGGATTTTTTTCCAGTAACAATCCTATAGTTGCCTTCTTAAGCAGGTGGCAACAGATACAAACTCAGAGACGGACAGATCAGCTCTCTTAACCAGTGAAAACCTGGCAGATGTAATCAGCCAGGAAGGACAATGACTGAGCATTTTCTGAATGAAAAGAGGCACCACCTCTATTCATGCATTTTACCCTGAATAAACTGGATTATGCCTAGCCCATAACGTATAGCCCATGTTGTAGTGTACATTTTGCAGCAAAGAACCTTTTCTACTTGTGAAAGCTCCTTTTATGATTATGAACACTGATCTTCCAAGGGAAGCACCACAAACGGGAATGTAGGAATTACACCAAAATATGAAAGTTGTGCACAAAGGAGGCTGGGACTGAAGATGTTTCCTCATAACTCTTTTCCATTATGTTGCCTCTTCTCAGGTATAATGTTTAAAAAATTATTTTCACTATGCAATTGACTTTTTTAAAAAAACAAAGTCTTTAAAAAAAAAACTTTAGTCTCCAGTTCTATTGTATTATCAAGGTATGTTTTTTTGTGAAAAACATGAGAGAAAGCTATATTCCTCTTATGTGATATTTCCTTTATCTGCTGCCTGTTACTGCCTGTTCTTACTGAAAGTAATTCGTTATAATTATTGCCATAACTTGCACTCCACTCTAAATTTGATTTATTAATTATTAACAATAGTTATCACTGCTTTTGTCAAGAAGATGTCATTAATTCTTTTAGTCCATCAAGGATAGCTTAGCACTATGCTTGCTACTAAAACAGGTACATAAAATTTTGTTTGAAAAAATTTAATTTTGGCTGCTTTGTATCAGCCAAAATCCTATTAACCAAGTCCTAAAGATTGGCCACTCCTGACTGAAAATGATTCCAAATTTATACTCAGATGAATATTCTGTATGCACAGAGCTTTATTGTTACATTTTAGTATAACGAAGATAAATAAGGTAGTTAGGACTGCATGGAATGAAACACGTACCTCTTGATTATAGGTACCTATGAAGATCAAAGTAAAATAAAATTATATGCAAACCTTTGCAAGAGACTTCAGCACCTCTCTCACGTAATTAAAGCCAGTCTCTGAATTGATTTCACCTCAGTATTAAACTCTATTCATTTTAAGTAAGTCCCACTAAGCACACTTATTCCAAGCAAGTCCCAATGAACTGAAACAGTATTTCTAGCTAAATGAAAATAATTCAACAAACACACTGTAAATTTAATCATCCTACCATGCTCTGGTCCTTTAAGTGCCAGCCGTGTCTGATGATGAGGAAGGATCTCTAGTTTGACATTGTCAGAAGAATTAGCCAAGAATTGTGTTGCTTCTGCCAATGTACAGTATTCCATGCTAGTACCATCAATAGAGAGAATATGATCACCTACATGTAACGCACCACATCTATGGAAAGAAGGAGAAAACATTTCAAAATAGTTCAGTATGGTTTTGAAGTACAGCATTCATTGCTTTTACAGCTTATTTCCTTTGGGATTTTCCTTTATTAGAAAAAGCTAATCTTTATATGATCTTTCAAGTTGTAACTATTGTAACGGTAGATTTCAGAACACAGCAAAAGATTGGATTGTAATATTGATTACATCATTTGCAGTGTTTTGCCAGAAATCTTTCAAAAAGGTATCAACCAAAGAAAGAGAAAGGTGGTAAACTATTAAGCTAAGCAGCAGACTACCTGGAAATAATTAGCTTAATTAGGATGCCCCAAAACATTTTCATTAAATGTTTCATTGCGTCCGAAAACTTTATGGTGCAGCTTACTTTCATAAATCCATAATTTATTATTTCATAATATTAATCACTGCTGAATTATTATTTTTTATTATTATCTTTTAAATTCACATTTCAGCATTTACTTTTTGCATAAGAATGTAAGACTAGCCCTTCTGATCAAGGCCCATCTTAGTCCAGAATGTAGTAGTCAAAAATACGTCTCTGCCTGTTTGTAAGCAGGAGAGAGAAACATGTTGCTCTCTGGAATTCTTCCTTGGAATTCATATTTGGAGATATACTTACCCCCACCTGGAGGTAACATTGAAACTTTAAAAATAATGGACATTGATAAACTTGCCCTTCATAAATTTGTCCAATCCCCTGTTAAAGCCATCAAACGTAATGTCCATCACCATTTTTACAGTAATAAATTCCTCAGGTTTTTAAGTATGGGCACTATCTACAATTTTGTTGTTTCTGATAGTTATGCTGGGCACCCTTAGTATATTAATTGCTCCTCTGAGTACCAGATTTTGTTTCCATATGATTTATGTGCAGACGAATGATATAACATAGTAGACTACAACTCACCTGTCTGCTATACTTGCAGATTTTATTTTATCTATAACAATGACTTGTTTGCTGCAACACATTGAGGTAGATAGTGCAACTCCCAGAGCAGAACCAGCGGTTTTGGCAACTTCAACAAGCAGTGGCCCAGAGGCTGTTGTTACTGAATCTGTAAAAGCAAATGTCAGTGCTTCATAATGGCACATTTAATTTATTTTGAAGCCCTCAAATAACTAATTTCCAAAATGGATTTTAAAACAACATGTGTATATCCTTTTAACCAAATAACAATTAGGAAAATACCTTGGCTTGCTGGTTTAAAAATGGCTTTAGTATCAGAAACAAGATTTGTGAAATTGGCTCTACTAGGGCTTGTAATTGAAAGTAAAATCCCAATTGCCTTGTATAAAGCTGTCTTGACATAATTCTACCACATCTTATTTAGCTGTTGGGCTTGAAGCACTAAATCTGAAAAGGTAGCAATCAATATATGTCTGCAATATTGCCTGTTGTAACCAGTGCCAATTGCTATGATCTTATTAGTGCCAAGTGTGCTATTTAGATTAGCATTAGCCAAAAAAATTGGATATGTACACATGGTAATTACATTGAACCAGTGCCTCTGAAACTCAGAAAGCCATCTATTTAATATTCCATGTCTGTGAGCTATTACAAACAAGGTATAAGAGTTTGAATTAAAGATCAAGCTATATATTATACATAGCTTATACATATGACTCTGGGAAAATAGAAACCATCCATCATGTATTGTTTCACTGCAATTTTTATAGATTTGCACAGATTACATGCTATCCCTGCTGAAACGTCTTCCAGGAAGGACAGGAGAAGAGAATATTACACTAATCTTCGTCTTTCATATTTCAACCATATTATCATCAACTCAGTAACCAAATTCTGTGTAGTTGTAGTGAAAATATGGCAAAACTTAATGCAGACATGTCAATCTGGACTCATTTTATTAATTTTATTTCCTTTGACATGCTTATCCATGATCATCATAATAAAAATCATTTAACTTGTTTTGATATACCATTTACACTTTTAGAAAAGCATGCTAAAACCGACTATTTGGGGGATCATGCATTAGTTGCCAACTGAAACTTGCGCTTTCAGCTCAAGCAGAAAATGTCTTAGGATAGCCCTGTCCAAAGGCCACAAAACAGCGTACAAGATGCTAACGCCCTATAATTCAGAATGCTGGCTGATTTTCTCTCCCTCTGACTTTATTTACCATCCAGCCAGGGATGGACAAGCTGCCAGCAGCTGTACTCACTTAAGAAGTCTTTTTTTTTTTTCCTGCAGCCAAAGGCAATAGGAAACATGGCTGCAATGAATTATGTCACTGGAAGAAGTTTGGTTACAATTTTTGACCTCCTGTTTTTCATTTTGGAGAGCTGAGTAACTTGGAAAAGTTTGTGACCTTTGAGCTTGCTAGATGCTAAATTTTACTGCCCTAATATGGATTTTGGCATTTTTCTTATTATAAAGATGACTGCTTCTACTTTGTAAAACTTGATACAGGCATAATGCAATTTTAGCTCAGCAGGATGTGCAAACTCTTCCACAGTAACTGTAAAACAAACACAAATAAACGACATCATTGCTTCACATAATTTGCTACTTGCAGGATTTCCTAGAAATGTCAAAAATGTGTGAGGTTTAGACTTTATCCAAATATGTTTCTAATGTCTTTTTAAATGCATCAGTAACACAGGTCAAGGCAGACAACTTAAACATTAAGAAAAACCGTTGTGGCAATACATAATAAATAAACACAAAGCAGAGACAGATTAGTTTATCATACACAAGTAAAAAGGATAAATATAAAAATGAATAATAAATTTATAAATTATTCACGTACAAAAGATACTTCAGTCATTAAGATATTTTACAGGTTGACTAAAGCATGCATATGCCATGTTGTAAAATTGGCCATGTAATTATATAAGATATGCTGATGAAATATCTGCATGGACAATACTCAGAGATTTTTATTTTGTTATTCAGTTTTCCCACTTCTGAACACTCGTTCTCAATCAGCACACAATATTTGATTAAAACTTCCCGACACACTGAAATTGTTTCCAGCTGGCTAATCACAACCTCGGCTTCTTAGTCAAACAACAGGATACCTTTTCCCTTAAGAAACCTAATCATGAGAAAGGAGACATACTTTCAGCATTCCACTCAAATAGGAATTAAAATGCAAATTTCGTTTCTGTGAAACCAAACAAAATGATGGCCTTCTCCATCCCTTTACAGACTATTACAGAAGGAAGGTTTATTTATGGATATGGGAAATGTGGATAAGCAAAATTATCTTGACAGATTCCAAGCTCTGTTTCCAGATGAATGTGCTCCACAGGTTTTATTATAGAATTTGGGTGAAGGGGAAAGTTACAAAGTCCATTTAGAGCAACTGTCACCATTGCCCAAGGCTAGTAGAATTATTTCATCTATTATTTAGTTAGATTGCATTTCTCTTACAAGCAAAAATACTGAACAAAACGTCTACCCAAACATCCTGCCCTGCACAGGAATAAGAGTTATGTAGTGCTAACATATCTGAGCTGGGTTAACAACTTGGATAACTTAATGTGGAATCTTACAGCTGCCTCAATCACTGATCATTTTTTGCTAATAATAATGGCTGGAAATATTCTATAGACTTTCCCAAATATGAAACAATTTTCAGACTAAATATATCTAGATTACAATTGCAGTGATTAAAACCAAAACTCAACACATTAGATGATTTAATATCTTATGTGCACATATTTTCTACCACACCTCATACAAAGTCTCTCAGATATGTGAAAGCCAAACATAGTTATTTAGCAGTTAGGAGAGGGCATTCTGCAAAGATGCTCTTCCTAAACTTGCACTGCATGTTTAAATCGTTGTGCCAAACACCCATATTCTCCAAATTCAAAGAATCCTTGAGGAATTCAGTGAGGATGGGAGAAGTTAGCTTTCTTCAAAAAGCTGCAGAAGCATTTAGATTTTATAAAAATATACCCCCATTACCCTATTAATTATACATTGTGGATATTGACCATTTTGCTTGCTGGGAAGTTGATGACAGAGGACATTGTCAGCAAGTATGGCATTCTTGTCCACGTTTGTTTTTACCAATGTAACAGTGCACATAGTCGGCGGAATTAATGCTTCATTAATTAAAGTAACCTTTTACGTATCTCAGATCTTGTGGAAAGTCAGAAACTCTATCAGTGAGCAAGTAGAAGGTGAGATGTCAAAGCTGTCACTGATCCCCCCCTTAACAGTTGGCATTCTATCTATTTCACTTGCTTAATTAAATGTGAAACCTAGTGCCTCAAGTAACTTAAAAAGGGGTATGCATCAGTGTAGACAGTGTACAGTTGATAAAGCAGATTAGCTCCTAAATAATATGACAGCATGATTTTGGTAGAATATGTACAGGAAATAAATATTTCAAAGTTAGATTTATTCTTACAAGTGCTGGCTGTAAAAGCCAGAATAAAATCTACACAGTAACACGTCATCAGTATTTTGTATCTACCGGTGGCTTCCATTATAACCAGCAACATATCTGTCAGCCCTTCAAGGTAGGTCAGGTCAAGAATGAGGCATAGCAGGGATTTCAGAAATGTTATTTATTGTGATAAAGTGGAATAACAGATTCTTGAAAGCCTGTCAGAGTTTCCCTCTGCCCTATCTTATATCAAACAATATCAAATGGAGTTCTTTTGAGGTTCTTTCTCACACTTTCCGCTTTCTCAGGACTGTGTAATCTTTTCTGAAAGTTTCCCCTGAATGGTTTGCTCATTTGTTCCTTATTCCCAATGCCAAGTCTATCTTCTTCCACAATATAGGAGAGTGCTTAGCTGATGACTGGCAACTTAGTCTGAACGCTCCCCATGGCAGAATAAGTACATTTTGTAAGATTGGAAGAGTCGGTGTTTGCCCTAAATCTAATATGTTGCAATAGTTTAGCCGCAGTTGTGTTGTGAGGTTTTCAAAGACAGTGAAAAGTATGGCTACAGATGTACTACAATGAGGAGGGAGCACATGAGATTGCAACAATAAATCATGGTTTATTATTACAGCAAATTGAGCCAACATGTATTTCTCTGCAGTAACAAACACCTGATGAGCCAAAAGTAATATGCCAGCCATATTCTAGAACTGAGATGAGTGACCTGAGGCCCAAGAGATAATTCAACCCCGGGATGCCTTCTAACTGTAATGGTTAGAAGTTCTCTGCCAATTAAAGATATTAAAATGGCACTCTAAACTCTGCAAAGGCAAAGCAGCACTCCAGAATTCCATCCCCACAGAAAAAGCAGAACATTCTGTTCTCTCCACACTTCATGCATAAAATTGTCTCATGCATTTTCTATATTTACCTCACCTACTGTGACCTTAGTCTACCTGCCCATCCCTGTTCTAGAACTTGCCAGGCACTTGATCTTGGACCCTCTCTTGATTTAAGGGCCTCAATATATTTTTAATTAGTTTAATTAACCTGCTCAGTTCAGTGAGGAGATTGGGCCTAGAGACGCTGATGAACAGTTCAAATGGAATGGCCAGAATTCCACTGTGTGCTAGTCTTTGTGCCTAATGCAGCCCCGGCTGGCATGGAGATCCAATGGCACACTCAAGATCTAGAACTAATCAAGTAAATCTTGCATGGAAGTCATACAACATATTCTTTAAGGGGAAGCTGTGATCCAATATGATGGACAATATTTTGTCATCTGTTAAGTTCAAACACTGCAACCATTATAATCCTATTTGTTCATTAATGGATGTCTAGTTGGCTAAACATAAAAGGATGCATCAAGAGAGAAAATAATAATTACTAATCCAATAATTAAGGGACTGGTGTGGTTTGTGGATGATGAACAAAATTAGCCTAACTTATACAATTCCCCCCCCCCAAAAAAGGAATGGATATGCTCTACTTTGGAAAGTAAATCTAAAATTTAGACTTTTACGAAGTATTTTATAGAAATCAGAGTTTTCACTGTAATTTCAGGGGAACAAAGAGTATAGCTGAGAGGGGCAGGGTAATTAATGCCTCTTGGTTAAAATATAGTGGGAATGTCAGATTTTATGTCTGCTGGCCTTGAAAGCACACCTTTAAGTGCATACTACTATAAATAA